CTGATTGATCAATTTTAGTATAAATGAGAGAAGGGTGTGGGTGTGCGTGTGCGTTTCTTCTTTACCCACCCGCACCCGCACACCCTAATGGCTAATGGAAGTCATTAATTAAGTTCCGTTAAAAAAAATTGTCCACCCCTAGTGTTCAACGTTCAATGCAGTGAAGGTCTGTGCAGATATTAGCAGATGAGAATGTTAGGAATGACGAGAGAATCAAGGTTACCTTGCTATTTCGTGAAAGCCATATATTTTTATACGAAAAGATGCTTCTTTTCAGATTCTAGGCTTATCCAAAATTCGTTTATGCAAGCAATCTCTTGATGTCCTGTAAAATGCTACTAACTCTTGCAGAACACACGATAGAAAGTCGAGTCTTGCTTAGATTTAATGTATTTAATTTGCTCTAACAACCGGCCATCTTTCAAAATAAGATCAGATGAGACACGTTTTTAGGGGATTCTGTCCAGTGTTCTATGATAGTTGATTAACTTGATTATCTGTTGATCCATCGAATTTTATTATAATTTCAAGGCATTTAAAATAGGAGTGGACACTTAGCATCCTCGAACAATCATAGGTCAAATGCAGAAATCGAAAATTTCTCAGTTTAAAAGAACGAAAGAAAAGAAAGAGTCAAGCAGCTATTCTGAGCAGTCGGTCCAAAGCAAGAGTTTTACAACGAAGTGTCATTCCAACTGATCGTAAAATCAGGTGGGAGTGATTCAACCATGGGATAATGTTCTGGGAACTGTGTATATTCACTATCCGAATAGTCATTCAGTTGATACTTTTGACAGATAAAGCGTCGGACGAGCATCCAAGCTCTACGTTGGTCATTTTCAGCATGTTCAGCATTTCGATCGCTGGATTTCTCTGCTAGATGAGTCAGATTATCATACCAAGTTGCGTGAAAGTGGTTGTAATATAGGGATTTTGGGCTTACAATTTCGGTATCACTTAATTGCACCCGTCCACTTGTCCACTGTTGGTAGCACTTACTCAGAAGAGGTTGATTTGTTTTGTAATAGTGCCCTCCTTTGAAACAGGCAGCCAAGTGATGCTTAGTTCTGTGAATTTGAAGAGATGAATTTGCATCTGATGGTTGGTCAAAGTCTGGGCGCGGCATACGAGGAACAATACGCTCCTCATGATCTGTGGTCACCTCACATTTTGAACCACATCCGGGGCAACACTGATTACAGCCTAATTTCTGCTGTATAGCTCGCACGCATTGATCAAAGGCTGCACCGCGTAGAGAAGCAATAATCGAGGTGACCTTGCCAGGAATTTCAGAGGAGGTCTGAAGAATGATTCTGAAGGCCGATTTGAAACGATCGCTGTTGGGAATACCCATAGGTAGAGCCGCTGGAAACTTAAAATTTACATTCGTATGGCCCTTGGTATTATCCATGAACGATTTATTAGCGCGTTCTTCAATCATTTTGTTTACTTCTGCATAGTTATTACACGAATTTGAATTGACTTCGTTGTTTATATCGCCGAGCAGTGTATTAAGGAGTGATTCGAGCTGTGCTGTTTGATTGTGTATGACGGCATTAAAAATAGCTCGAATCGAGTCCAAACTCACTTCGAGAAAATATAGGTTGATGTTGGTCACATACTTAAGAATGTTTTCCGCATTGGCCATAGTGAAACTGGATGTGTAGGCCTGGTTTTGAACATTTTCGTGAATGATATGGTCGGATGCTGTCACAGCTTGACGGATGTCACATGTAATTTTGGCATTCATAATCCGTCGAACTTCTCTAAATAGAGCGCTGGTCACTGTCGTTGCCAACTCGTTACCTTGCTTACTTGAATCTTCCATCGAAGATATTTGCCTGTCGACACTATCTTTGAGGGATTTAATGCGGTTTTCTAACTCAACCATTTTTTCATTGTAATACTGCTGGCCGACATTAATCGATTCGTCGACGAGAAGGCGTAGAGCTATCACAGCCAAGTCGGCTACGAAAATATTGCGGTTGAGATGCTTTTTGTGGTCAGCTACTTCTCGCATCCTCATTGCTCCCTCCATCATATCAATGGCTTGTTCCATCACGTGTGTCTTGTTGTATATGGGCTGAGAGACTTTGATCAGTTGACGAAGGTCGCCTTGCAGCTTAGGAAGAACCTCATTAGCTATTCCAATGAGGATTTGGCAATTTTTGGATACTTCGGAACTGTTAAACCATTGAATCCTGTTTTCAAATGAGCGCCACATGCTGTCCAACTCATTGGAGGATCTAACAAAATTCAAAAGCCGTTGACGGATTCCTATTTTGCCTCCTGATTTCTTCAAAAAATCTTCAAGGAGACGTCCAACATTAGCAAGATTTTCACTATGCTGTATGAAATCGGTGACTGGCATTGATGGTAAAATATTGTAAATCTCTCGGCCGCATTCATGTTTGTGCAACTGGAGGCACGAATTGTAGAGGCGTATGATCTTCTCAGTAATTATATCAGGCTGTTCAAAGAGGGCTTGCTGGTTTTTTTGAGAGATAATACGGAGTTCTTCAATTTCTTCTTTCATCGTTTTTCGCAATTGCTCAACATTGGGCGGCTTGTCCTGATTGAAACGCTCTTCAGCTCGAGCGATCAACGTATCTTCGACTTCTTTGACAATTTTTGCCTGAGAGCTTGCTTGTAGACGATTATCAAAGATGTAATTCCATTGTTCAATCAGACCTTTGAGAGACGAAACAATTGTGCGCTCCCATTGTGTTTTCACATCGGTAGAATAGTATGATTTGTTTGTCTTTTGTGCAAATTCTTTTAGAGCCTGCTGTTGTATAGATTTCACGGTCGTCTGAATGTCCATCTGAAAATTCATAGAAGCAGTGTTCATCGATGCCATTGTCATTTTGATCGGTTCGAGTTCTTTTAGCCTGCGTTCAACCAATTTCTCAAATTGATCATTGAGAGATGCGGCAGCCAGTTTGAGGATCTCAACAGCTATGCTTTGTACTTCAGTCATGCGCGTCAATTCGATTAAACTTTTGCACGACAAGAGATCAGGTCCTAGTCGGTCAATAACTGACCAATTGCTTGCCAACATTAATGACATATTGTCGAAATCACTGTAGACATTACTTTTCGACGATAATTCCAGGGAAGCAAATATCGTGCGTCGAAGCTCTTGAATTTCAATTGGAAAACTTTTATTTCGGTAGTTCTGATTGATGCCCATTCTTGCATCAATATCTTTGACAATCGCATTGGAAAGCAAAATCACTGCATTCGAATTGATTTCCATAACATCGTCGATTGAAGTAGTGAGGAACTTAGCGTCACTTTGAAGAGTTTGCTTGAGATTTGTGAGCTGAGGCAGAAAGTGTTTGCGCTTTGTTTCATCTGTTGTATCCGATTGATCACGAAGGATAAAAAGCAGAGCTGGTTTCATAGCCGATTTAATTTGTACTTTCGCATAGAGTGACATGCCGATTAGAGAGCTGAGTATCGTGCTGAACTCACCCTTGTGATTGATGATCGTTAAGTGGGACGAAAGCATGGCCATAGTGACGATCTGATTATCAAGTAGGGCACTTGCTTCCTCTACGGATAACAAGCCTTCTGTGTCGAGTAGGACTACACTAAGTTCTCCCCAATGCACGACGCTAGCATAAATGCCAATGGTACATCGACCGGAGCTAACGCGAAAATTTGTGCCAAAACATGTATTTAGCAAAGAGCTTTTTGCCGATGACTGTTCACCAATGACACTTACAACGCATGGAGCACTTCGAGCATTTTTACCCGCAATTTGAATACTTTTGGTTAGTAGAGGGCTGTGACACTGTAGTGGGCGCCCACGTAATATGTGTAGGGCAATGCCACGATTCATCAAGTCTACAAAACAGACGGCCAGACGATCTATGATCTTCTGATTATTTTCAGTGGCGAACAGGGTCGGATTGAAGTTGGATATGGCCATAATCTCATCAAGAAACAAGCCAACTGTCAAATCAATATTCATGAGCTTCTTCTCCAACTTTTCGACTTCGTGGTGGATTTTGGCAAATTCCTGCTTAGCACCGTGCAGACATCTTGCAAGATCTAAACGCTTTCCTTCGTCATTCGGGTCGGGTGGCGACTGTTTCTCGATTGCCAGTTGTTCGGCTTCACATCTTTTGATGGCATTTGCAAATTCAATAGCGCGCTGCTTGATATTCGACATATCTAGTTGAAGCGGACGTTCGTATTTTGATCTCCAAGTGTCCAAATATTTTTCAACAACGAGTAGTTCAACGAACGTTCCTTGCATCAACAGTTCAATAAAGAAACGAGTAGGCGCCGAGACTGATGTAATGTTTCTTAGCTGTGCTTTTAGTTGCTTTTGGGTGTCGGCAACTGATCTCATGTCCTCTTCGGTATCCATAGTCAGTTGTTTCTCCGTAGTGCGAATTTTGGCTTGTAAATAACTCACGGGTGTTGCCATGAGCAGATTATCTGTTTGATCAGTATACTTCTCAAGCAACTGTTTCAGCTTTCTTTCTGCAGCAAATGAGAGCATCTTGGTATTCGCCCGACCATTATTTGATCGATAAGCTAGAAAGAGAGATTGAATCATGAAGGAAGAGCGGAAAAGTGACTGGCGTTGTGCAATTCCAGATTCCAGTTGAGAAAAAGCATCCAAGAACGATTGCCGCAAGAGCTGTGCCCGGCGAGATTCATCAAAGTCTCGATTCTCTGACTCTTGTATCCATAAAGAAGCACAGGGAGCAAGTACAACAGCAATAGATGACATGGTAATTGTAGGTAAGAATCGTTTCAAGCCCTCTTTGCATCGGCTGACAAGTAAGAGTCTTGATTCCGAGTTACGATCGTCAAAATCGGGATCAAAAACGACGACAATGATCGGTTGCGAGTGAATATCAGAAAATAGTGATGACAAAACATCTGATTCCAAATCGTCGAGCGTGATATATAAAATAAGGACGGCAGCATAATGCTGAATGGCACGCACCAAGTCATCATTTATTCCCTTACAAACTGTGCCATGAAGATCGAAGAGCGAATATGCTTGTTCAACTTTATCACAGCTCCTAATTATTCCCGACAGAACATCGAGGCATCCAGCCCGTAACGACGCATTTCCAGTGGTATTGCCAGATTCACGTCTTTTATCCAAACACATGTATGGTAACAGGCTCGATTTGCCTTGCCTGATGGCAGAAGGGCTTCCTATCTGAAGTAGCATCCGATCAGTCGTCAGACACAGAATTTCTGCGATCAAGTTGAAATTAATAATGTATTCAATCTGCTGTTCCTTCACATTGAATGTATAGTAGGAGAGGGGAATTGGTAAATCATTTTTCTTGATAAAATTCGCCAAGTAACGTTGACTATCATCGTTCATTGATTCGGCTATTGCTACTAGAACTACTCGCGACGTAACACTTCGAACAATTTTGATCAGTGCATTAAAATCATTAGTGGTCTTAGAGGGGATATTTACTGTTTGCATACTGACGTCGAGACATTTTGGTAATAGTGTCATGATATCGTGAAGACCGTGGTATCTTTTGAGACTATCCACAACATAGGTTTTGAACGTTTTGTCGACGAGAAGAGAACGAATGAGACTTTTTGTGTCCAACTGTTGGTCTGTGATTGTGTTAAACACAGCGTCAAGTGAGTCAGGTTGCACAGAAGAATGAGGAGGATAAACAATAGCACATCGGCTCCACACTGTTAGAATGTCACGGACTTTCGTATCCAGCTGTTTATCGCTAATTTTCTTCACATGATATGAATGACACTTTTGTAGTAGTTCAACGACGTTAATATCTCCTTCATCAGAAATGTTGGCATCAGCAACGGTCATAACTGCAAATAGGCAAACATTAAACTAAGCACCCTCTTAGTAACGCATTACTTAAAAAAAGATTAATCGCGATCAGAGAAACCCCCGTGCATGTCAGTCCGATGTAAAATTTAAACACTTCTGAAAATTTCACAATCGTTTTAGCGCTAACTTTCGTCAAGTTCTATCTGAAGTAAATCACAAAATGTTGAGAGTCACAATCATAAACAACCAACAGTATATTTTTCGCTGTTTACAGTATTTCTGGTCTATCGCACAAGTCCAATGTGTGTGAGTGTGGGTGGATTTAAGCAGTTCGTATCTATACTGATACTCTCATACCCACACCTGTCGTTGATAAACCGAGGAGAGTTTACTGTACCAATTTGGTCTAGATTTTATATTCAGCTGCGCTGAATTCAATCAAAGATTTCGAAGTTCTCTGACTAAATGATATTCCATGATCGACAAAAGCTAGAACAATAACTTTTTTGCAAAAAATTGACTCATACTTCGAAGAATATTTGGCGTATTTAAATTGAGAAAAAAACTGTTTTTCGTGTTTAGTAAAAGACCTACATGACTGCTAATGATGTCTACCCAGTAAACGCTTTGTTTCTATTTTGAACTCACTTGTTTCTTGATCTCGATCATTTTTATTCATGACTCTTGGAAGTAAGTCAACCATGTCACAGACGGCTCTATTGACCGGTAATGAGTGAATACGAGCTTTTTTAACTTTGGTTCCATCCCGCAAAGGGCATTCGAAATGGCCACGGGTGCCAGAAGCTACTCTAAGTATGCATCGAAGGCAATATGTGTGTGAACAGGGCAGTATACGGGGATCCACAAAATGTTCCAGACAAATTGCGCAACTGATTAGTTCGTCAACTCGCATTTTTTGTTCCTTACAGGATAATTGTTCGGCCATATCGCTGCTCACAATTATACGATTCGATGAATGATCAACCAAGTAGGATGAGTGCTAGTCTAAAAGTAGAAAATCGAAGAGGACCATGCTTTGTGGGTGTAGGTTTGAGTTTGTGAGATGTGGGGTGTGGCCAGGGCTGCCAACCGACCCCAAAAATTGGGGTACATTTTGTTGACATAATATTCATACACTCTAAGACCACTAATGATTTTAATGCACTGATCAAAATTGTTCGAAGTGTTACGTCGCGAGTAGTTCTAGTAGCAATAGCCGAATCAATGAACGATGATAGTCAACGTTACTTGGCGAATTTTATCAAGAAAAATGATTTACCAATTCCCCTCTCCTACTATACATTCAATGTGAAGGAACAGCAGATTGAATACATTATTAATTTCAACTTGATCGCAGAAATTCTGTGTCTGACGACTGATCGGATGCTACTTCAGATAGGAAGCCCTTCTGCCATCAGGCAAGGCAAATCGAGCCTGTTACCATACATGTGTTTGGATAAAAGACGTGAATCTGGCAATACCACTGGAAATGCGTCGTTACGGGCTGGATGCCTCGATGTTCTGTCGGGAATAATTAGGAGCTGTGATAAAGTTGAACAAGCATATTCGCTCTTCGATCTTCATGGCACAGTTTGTAAGGGAATAAATGATGACTTGGTGCGTGCCATTCAGCATTATGCTGCCGTCCTTATTTTATATATCACGCTCGACGATTTGGAATCAGATGTTTTGTCATCACTATTTTCTGATATTCACTCGCAACCGATCATTGTCGTCGTTTTTGATCCCGATTTTGACGATCGTAACTCGGAATCAAGACTCTTACTTGTCAGCCGATGCAAAGAGGGCTTGAAACGATTCTTACCTACAATTACCATGTCATCTATTGCTGTTGTACTTGCTCCCTGTGCTTCTTTATGGATACAAGAGTCAGAGAATCGAGACTTTGATGAATCTCGCCGGGCACAGCTCTTGCGGCAATCGTTCTTGGATGCTTTTTCTCAACTGGAATCTGGAATTGCACAACGCCAGTCACTTTTCCGCTNTTTTACGTACTTCATATAAGGAAGGAAAACATATGAATCCTGCCCGTTTTACATTCGTTGGACATACATATACTACCCATTTAACTGTCTTATCATTTTGTTTGCGATTTGAAATCTTTATCGTTGCTGATAGAATCGAAAATCTGAGTAATTTATAACGCTTATAAAAAAGTTGCTCTTTGTTTTTATCCCCGCGATACATTTAGTGACACCGCCTCTGTGTTAGATTTTCAAGAATACAACTCATTTTGTACATATCGATACCCTACTCATAATGAAATGAGTTTCAAAGCTTCGAACAGATTAAATAATATTTTTTATGCATGAGAACGACTCTTAATTTCATTGTGCTTCATAAAACCACATAAGGCACTTCCAAAATAGCTGTACTATTTTGGGATCCCCGGTGGATTTCTGGGATTTTGATCGGATCCCTGGGATCCCCATGGGATTTTCGGATCCCCGTGTGGTCCCGGGATTTTTATTGGATCCCTTGGATCCCCATGGGATTTCTTGGCATTGGGGATCTTGGGGATCCGCTTTTTCCCCCTTGGGCAAACTGCACCCATCTTTAGAGTGTTCGAATATTGCGCCAGCAAATGTACACCAATTTTTGGGGTCTGTTGGCAGCCCTGGGTGTGGCTATGAGTTTTCTTTCGACGGATCCTCTAACCCGCTCTCACTCACACCCAATATAAACTTTTTTTTATGAAACACTAAGAGATTTTTAGTGTGATTTTAAAAAGGCTAGAGTGGGAAAGGGTGAAACAAATGAGGCTTTTTTGTACTAGTTTTTAATTGAATAAACTCCTTCTATTGACTAAATACTGTTTATAACTACCTATTTTTAGTGCCGAAATGATGTCGATAATTTTCATTGTTACAGCTTGCATTTCGTTGTCCTATTAGCTCTAAGTCAACTTTTTACATACCTCGCGCAACATTTCGGTCGCTAGAAAACGGCTTAAAAAGTCGAAACAAGCGAGGACCTGCATAATGGCTAACAAGCAGAATTCAGAATTGTTTGTACCCATACATAGTGAAAAAATAGCAATGTTATAACCCTCTTCGCCAGCAATCAGTGTTAAAGTAGAATTCTACCAGTAGTAAGAGGAGACAAACCGACTATCAGTATACGAACACGAAACAGGGGTAAAGCAACTAAATTCTCATAAAAATTCAAACAAAAACAAGCACAAGATAAGATAGAATCCTACCAGTAGTAAGAGAAGACAATAATGAGTATAAGGTGAAATAGTTGCAGATAGTTGATGAATTTCCTTTGTTTGTTTTATTCGGGAGTTTTCGATCTTAAACCATCATTTTCAACTGTAGAAATGATAATATGTGCATTATATTTTTGGATATGTAAGATCTACACCCCACTAGTTCATAGTTAATGTTGTAAATGTATTGTGTATTGTAACATCTAATTTTGATTGTGAAAAAAGGTTGAAAATGATCGCTTAAGATCGAAAATTCCCGAAAAAAACAAACATAAGAAATTTATCAACTATCAGTAATTATTTCACCTTATACTCATTGTGGAATTAAATTGCATGTATTATTATCTTTGAAAGAGAAGAAAAATCGAGTATCAGTATACTGATGCGAAAGAGAATCTGGAAAACCGAATTCTGATACAGAATTCCAACAAAACCATCAGGATATAGAACAGAATTTTATTAGTAGTAGCAAAAGACAAACTTTAAAGGATTCTCTAAGAGTAAAAGATTTCTTGACATTAATTGCAGTCAAATGTTGATGTCTTATGATTTTTGAAAGATTTTTATGAAATGACAAGTACTTGTTTATCGCTAGGTTTTTGGTTTTTGGTCGCACAGGATAAGGAGTTCATGCTTAGCAACAGCTCTCAGATTTCTATGATCTTCATCAAAACTTCACTTAACATTGTGAGAATTGGAATTGCGCGCTCTGCAGCACACAAAAACCTGTTGCTTGTAAATTTAATATTCCCAGGTGAAAAAATTACAGGCCGCTTTCCGAAGGAATGCAGAAACAGTACTCCGTCCCAAAAATTTTCTAGGTTTCCCCAGTGATTTCCAGTCGATTCGTGTTCTTTCCGGTAAGAACTGACCAGAAGTCTTCCGGAAAATATCCGCAAAATTTTCGCACGGAATACTGCTTCCATATTCTGTTGGTTTTCACTGTTCTCCTGCGGGAACTGGTGATTTTCCGAGGTCTCTTCTGACGAGGGAAGGTCCTTGAGTGTGTCTCTGGGATTTTAACCAAAATTATATGGTCGTGCCAGGCCCAGTATTTGTATCTTAAACAGTGGCGGCGGAGCTATAGGCCTGGGTAGGTACAAGCCTACCCCAGCTTTGGATAGGGTAGGCTTGGGTAGGCTCAAACTAAGGCAGATGAAGGCTTATGGAGGCTCAATTAAATGTAAGTTTTTTACCAGAATTTGGTTTTTATGTTCTACCAACAGTGATAGATTTCTCGTTGTTGGCAAGGTCATTCCATATTTTCCCCAGTAAGAACTAGTATCGAAGGAACAGCATCTTTTGTGATTTTATTTCCAAGAATCAAAATCGAAAAACACTTTTTGGTGCCGCACAGTTTTAACCTTTCAAAACTTTAAAAAAATTTTTATAAACACTTTTTCTCTGATGTTTATTTGGATCGTTTTTGTCTCGCGAGAATACAGCAGCCGATACTAATCACACTTATACCACATGCAAGTCAAGCAAAAACCTATTGTGTTCACTCTTGCAAACAAAAACCCACACCCCCACCCAGCACATAAACATGATTTTGTCAACAATCTGTTTTAAAAATGAAATTAATGATAAACGATTTAAAAAATTCTGTACAGCTTCTTTCTAATGATAAAGTTCTTATTTTTCTAGCCTTATCTTGGTAACATTTAGAAAAGTATAACAATTGTTTATTTCTTTTAAAACCGTTTGAAAAAAATGTATTTGAAAA